TTGAGCACACCTCAATCCAAGAATCTCTAACTTCAGGGTGCACATTGTCTAGTATTGTATTTCTGTTTGAAGCAGCAGTGTTGAAAATGCATCTAGAAAGCGGCAGTGAGGAATTCTTTTCCTGTAATTCCATCACCTTGTGTCATAAACCAGGCAATGCAAATTGCACTATCTTTAGAGATCACTAAATCTGTGAACCTGACTATTCAATATGTATACCAACACAGCACTATTTTAAAGAAATTAGTGGGGTTTTGCTATTATTTATTTAATGAGTCTTTTCACATTGCACTTCTCCGCATGACTAGAGGACCCTGCTTTTAAATATTAAAAACTCTTAAGTGCTAAACACAAAGAATTCTGGCAAGCTATGAGGGTCAAACACAAGTTAATTCTAGCTTACATTGCTAGGATAATGGCAACTTCAGTCAACAAGCTGCTTTTGCATACCAAAACCCAAGTCTATTCCAAAGCGACTCATAAGAAGTGGGTCGCCCTGCCACCAGACTGCAATACGATGGGCACATTTCAATATTAAATCAATTAGATTGGAACAACTGTTAGGAAATTAGATGTAATCGTGTACACACACACACTGGAAAAAAAAAAAAAAACCAAAACCAAAATACCTAACACACTGATCAAACATTTCTTTCACTGACAGTTCAAAGGCATCAATTCTACAAACAGGATTACTTTACACACGATATTTTCTCTTCTAAGATATGTAGAGATGTACTAGCTGTTATTGTGTCAATCTACGTTGAACCATGTTAAAGATATTTCAAGACAGCAGTTTTCAGTTTAAAGTAAAGGGAAAAGCCAAAAACACTTGAGAGACAATAAACATAAACTTGCATATTTAAACGCAATTATAGTGAAATAATGTATAATCACTGAACTGGATGAAATCAGGGAATAAAGGTTAACATACTTCGATTAATTCTATTTAAAGCTACATGAATTAAAATATTTGAGTTACAAGTTCTGATGTAAAGTAAGTATTTTCATATATGATTGACTTACAGAACAATTGCAGTGAAAACTCTAAAAATATTAGCAAGACTCTATCCACATAGAAATTATATGAAATCTGAGTTTCTCCACTCCACAGAAGCATAATATTCTAATAAGAACTATCCTAATCTTCACCCAGCAATAATTTCAAGATGATATTATTATTCTCATTTCCTTGAATAATATCCATACTCCAGGGCCATTTTCCTTCTCATATTCAATATCATGCATGCTTGTATCAAGATTCCTTTCTTCATATCCTGTCACAGTATCAATCACTGCCTCCTGTCCACTCAATCCACTTTTGATTTATCAGCCGCCGTCTTTCTGGACTCCATAACTCGACCCAAACCATTTTAGCAAGACATTGACAAATAGCACCCAGTATCACATCAACCTGTTCCACTTAGTAAACTAAGAAACAGTAACTGTGACATCTCTGCATAAGTATTCCATTCTATTCCCCAGACTGATGTATATTAATGAGGAGATGGTATTTGAAATGCTTCTTCCACATCAGCATCTAATATGATCAAATTAGGAAATGGGATGATTTATTAAATTTCGTAGGGCTGAAATATTTCTTTATATCACTATATGTGTGGTTTCAGAAAGTGAGCTGTTGCTTTCAATTTTTCTACTGAGGATGTGCCTGCATTTCACAGACGAATTATTGTCTTTAAAAAGATTGCAAGAAGGCGAAATGTTATTAAGCAAATGCTCAGTAAAACAAACTAAATCGGTTTTAAAATTCCTAATTTAATGTAAATCTTGGTTGTTTTGCTGAAATTCAGTTTGTGATCTTATTAAGTCATATTTGCATTGTACTATCTTGCTGTAGGACAGCTTTAAATTTATAGCATTACTAGGAAGCCCCACTTTTTTGACTCTAAAAATGCATCGAAAATAAAATAGTTATTATATGCACAAGTTTTCTTCTAAAACAAAGAACAACAACAAAAAAAATCTTAGGTTTTAAGCAATACCTACTCAAAATATTTTTAAAACATCATTGTAGAAATCTAACTTTTCAAATTAAAACTTGACATTTCAGTATTTTACACAGTTGGAACACTCAAAAAAACCTATGCTAGAGAAGTTATTAAAGAAATTACATTACAGCCACATATACTTTTACCAACATTTTCACTACCTAGAAGACCAAATTATTTTCATTTTATGGAGGACTGTGGGGAGAAAAGACATTATAGGATACAGAATTTGCAACATCTGCATGACTTATATCAAAACCAAATCCAATGATTTAAAGATACCATGTAATGGATCGTAACTTCCAGTATGAAACTTGTTTTCTAGTGTCAGTTCCACTCCAATTGGGAAAATAATAAAAAAATAATAATAAAAAAAAAATCACAGTTGCTCAAGTCCAAATGGTGGTACACTGAAGGTACAACAGTAACGTGAAAAAAACAAGTCATGTAGAGAAGATCTTCACTTTATTGCTCTATCTCATATATTGTGGCTTTTCAGGTAGGTCAGTAGATTTTACTCCCTGCCACCAGCAATTCAGAACTTGGAGATCAAGAATACTTTAGTGGGTAACACATTCTTTACTACCCTAACACAAGGTGCCTGCCTGAGTTACTTCTGATCATTTTATTAGCGAAGTGCTTTCTTCAGTACTTACCTTTAAAAGTCAAATGAAAATAAGCTGCCCCACTTCAAGCAAAAAAATTAATGAATTACAAATGCCAAATTCTTGTGAAAATCCCACTTTAGTGCTACAAATACAAACATTTAACAAATATTGTCTTTCTGCATTTAACAGCTTTAAATGGATTTTTTTCTTCTCTGACTGCTTTTTAAATTAAGTTCAACTTCTGGTCTCCAGAACCTCCAACAGCAAGGGTTTCCACAGCTTAATTATGCAATATATAAGAACCATCTCCTTTTGTTTGACGAGGATCTGCCACCAGCCTACTTCAGTCACTTCACGCCTGCCCCAGGTCTCACATTGGAGGAGACAGGAAACACTCATTCCCTAATCATCTTTTCGTGCCATTCATTTTTAGATTTTTTTTTTAATACCCCTCCATCACATTCCTTCTTTCCCCCACAATCTTTTTGCAGCCTGAGGAGTCATAACGTACCCAGTCCTCTTAGGAAAGCTGTTCATACCTTCGATCAAGCGCACGAGACAGATTTTGAGATAGCAAAGAAAGCAACTATTTAGCATTGCTGTGACTGCCTCAACGCCAACACACAGGGAAAACACAGGCCTCTCGTAGCAGCTTTCTGCAACCTATTTAACTCTTCCCCAGAAATAAGATTAATCCATGGCTTCTCAGTGTAACATTACAGCAGAGAGCAGACTTCGCAAAAAAAATTACAATAAAGGATTCGATGTGTCCTGTTGGTTTTAGTTTTATGCTTTTAGCAATTTAGTTTTATGCTTTTAAGATGCCAAAAGACTCTTCTGCGAGTATTTAGGATGTTATTTATAAATATTTTCCCTGAAGAGCCATGTCTGTGAATAGTAATATCACTTAAAGTGACCTGCTGGTAATACCTGCATAGCTATAGTACTGAAAACCTACTGTATTTTATACATAAAATATTTTATATACAATATATCCTAGCACAAAATGAAATAAACAGTAGTCATGTCTGTGAAGGTTTTAGGTGCATTATTTCCATATATTGCAGTAACAATTAACATCATTAAACCCCTTGGAAAAGATGACCATTAGACTATGTCTAATGAGATCTGCAATTTGTAGTTATTACAATAAAACCTAGATCTATAAATCAGGTTATCATATTTCCTAATGCTGAGTAACCAACGTACTGAAAAACACCTTACTCTTTTGACATTTCATTGTTTTAAAGCTGATTTTGTTAGCAAAACTGGATATTTACAGGAATATTTCTACACACAGCACAGTAGCTTATCCGGGGTGTACAGCTCAGACAGTAAGGATACTCAGAGAGAGATCAGACAGTTTAAATAACCAAATCACTACTACAAAGGCACTGTAGCAATAAGTGTCCAGGCAACTACTATAATGAACAGCTGTGAATAAGTCATGAGAGAATACAAATAAGAGAAAGCGAAACGTTCACATCTTCCAACAACAATTTTTCAACTTTTAGGGGCAACAGCTCTACTGATTTGGTATATGAAAAGACTATGTTTTACTAAATTCTTACTGCAGGTACACAAAATCACCTGGCTGAAGAACTGTAAACACACACCAAAAAAGCTTCGATCTTCCTCGTACGTTCAATAATTAATTTAGATTCAATAGAAGATGCTAACAGTAATTCTGATATCCAGGGAAAAACTTTATTTCAACTTTTTAATTGAAAAATACACATACACAAAAACTGAGCTGCTTTTAATTACAAAAGTATGAAGCAGATTTTATAATACAACTTGTAACATCTGATTAAGATTTAAATATTTAAATTACATTTATTACTGAAGACATTCATTTGTCACAAAACAATTCATGAAAGATTTCATTATTATGAAAATCATTAAGAAATCACCATTAAAAAAAACTTGCATAACTAAATACTCATCTCTTTCCAAGAAAAACACAGATGAGAAAAATAAGTTTAGTCTGATCTTCAGGGGGCCATGGGAGTTATGGAAATCGGTTATCAAAAAAATCAACAACAAGCTTTCAGATTATTACAGTTGAACCAAAGTGACTTTATTAATGCTATTTGCACTTGGTCAAATGCAAAATATCTAACTTATCTTCAAAGCCAACTGGTCCACCAGTGTAATTTAAGGATCTAGAACCTTTTGAGGCACAGCATAGAGATTCCAAATTAGGAAGAGCAAAAGCACAGCATAGAGATTCCAAATTAGGAAGAGTTTCAATTGATGTGTAGTTTAGATGATCACTTGCAACCATAATTTCTAGTATATTCCAAACTCAGTAATTATATGAAGATCTTAAATTGTTTTTACAGTAGAAATAATAATTATTTTCCCTAGAAAAGACTCTTACCTTCTTGTTCTACTTTTTGATCTTGATCTTTGAGACCTGTAGGATTTGCCTCTGCCCCGTGATCGGCTACGACTGCGTTTTCTTCTAGAACCATATGAAGAGCTACTGCTCGATCTGTGTCTGCGTCTAAAACAAAACCATGCTATTAGCATGCTACTGCTTCTAAAAACAAACAAACAAACAAACAACCCACCCAAGCAGGAACAAAAAATTTAACAGTTTAATTAAGAGACATACAGACCTGCGGGTTTTGTATTACAACATATCGTAGAAGCCTCAAATACTACAATTACATTCTAATAAGTAATTCACACACACCTGGGCAATGCCTGTCTTAAAGAGCTTACATTCCAAAATATACATCTGAAAACAGAAAAAGGGTAGAAGGAGAAACAGAAGTTAAATGATTTGCCCCAAATTATGCAATACCTCAAGGACAAAGCCAGGAACACAACCCAGCTGTCCACAGTTTTTAGTCCCATGACCAGCTCATTGGAACTCACTGCCAAATCTAAGATTATTGTTCTTTGGTTGAAGAAACATTTAGACCTACATTCTCAGCAGGATTTACACCTAAATACACCATATGGGATAAGGATTACAACTCCAGTGCTAAAAATGAAATTCATAAAATGTTAACTTCTGCATTGCCACTCTATACAATTATTTCCAGCCACAGTATGTATGAACATGAAATGTAAAAATGTATTTCAAATTATGTAAACCTAAAAATATTTTCTGTATCTTTCTCTATATAAACTCACAACATGCAATCTTTGTTCTGCTCTGATGTAGACAGATCCTCCCTTTTTTTTTTTAAGTATATTAGCAATCAAATAATCAGTATTAATTTATTCCGTTTGAGTTCAGTCAGGAGCCAGAATGGTACTTCCCTTCCCCTTAGCCTCCCCATTTCATTTATTCAAAAAACAAATTCTTATACACATAGGAGAAAAGTGAAAGAATGCATAGTAAATACATAAATTAAACCCACTAATCCAAAAACTGGTGGGAGGGATACCTTCCAAGTCTTAATCTTCTGTAAAATTCCCTCTCCATCTCCCAAACAGCTAACGAAATAACAATTACAATCTTTATGAAAACCTCCATATTTTTGGCCTTTATTATGTTTGATTAATATTAAAACGTAACACCACATAGAAACATTTCTGTAACCCAGGATGCAGTCGATGTGATATGTGCTTATCTAGCACAAGGGAAAAGGTGCTGTATTACCTACAAGCAATGCTGCAGCAGTCCAGACTGGAAAGGATATACATGTAAACTACTAAAGAGCAGGTCTTCATCTGAGAAAGAAAAGCAATGTTCCTGCTAAATGAAGATGAAGAACAGCAATCTGGGAGACTGCTGCTTTTGATTCTTAAGGGTCAGGGATAAATCCAGAAGGACCCCAGCGTGTAATAGTGACTTAACTGCCAGAAGCAAATGCCCTAAACTAAGGGCAAAGCAAAGGTGCCAGCCAGATCCTAACAGCAGACACTTCCGTCTTTTCTGGATTCAATTTAAGTCAACTGGTCTTCGTCCAGACTCTAATCTCCCTTCAAGCTCTGTTTTTATCTGCGAGATAGCCATGCCTGCACTGGACTAAAGAGATTCATAAAGCTGCATGTCATCAGCATATTGTTGGCATCGCAGCCCATGTCATCTCACTGTGTCCCCTAAGGGCTGTATGTAGATGCTAAGCAGAAACAGAAGAAAGGGAGGATGGAAATAAATAAGAAACTCCCCACAACCAGCCAACTTGCCCCTCATTGACACACTCCTCTGCCAGCCAAAGAAAGGTTTTTTTAGGAGCACTTTCTAATATGTACTTGTTGTGTAGGACTCCATAGAGCAGCTTTCCACCTTTGATGTTTCCCTACAATACACTGTTCATCTCAGACAGTTAGAAGAGGCCTTGCTAAGATGCAAAATTACTGAAGAGAAAGTTGGTTCTGTTTTACCTCAAACCAGGACAGGTATATTTACAGTGCAGCTAGACACAAGGAGCATTTTTCAGCTCAATTAACAAATTGACCACTACCTGTTCGACCCCAGGATCACCACGGTCAGACTGAGAAACAACCAGGATGTCTAAAAAGGCCAGGTACTGAAAGGGGCCTCTGATGAAGGAAATATGATGTTAGGTCAAGAAAAATTTAGTAGATTTAGCAACATGATCAGTGTTCTAAACACCTGGTTGACTACTGTATTCTCTACACATAAAAAATAGCTAGAACAATCACTGCAGCAAATTTATAGACCTACTGTAAAACCACCTATGTCTTATATATTGAGAAAGCCCACCTTGTCTGGAAAGACCTGCTTGTTTTATTATAACAGAAAAAAGTACCACAGAATAGTCTCCAACCAGTTGAATAAAACTACTTTTCCAACTGGCATCAATATATGAAGTAGTATATTTCCAAAAGGATATTAGAAATTCATTATTAGAAGGAGGGGAAATGAAAAGTTGGTTTAGTTTGTTGGGTTTTGTTTGTTTTAATAAGGAAATTATCTTTGGATCTGCATATATGCTGGGTTTGCATTCTTGCAGGGGGGAAAGCGTTCTGGGTTTTTTGGTGGTGGTTTTGGGTTTTTTTCTTCAAATGCAAGTGGAAATACTGCCATATCTTCCAAGATTCAGAGTACACTTTGCTTTAAAATTCCAAGCTAGAACTGACTACACATTGGATTCAAACACCTCTGGCTTTGTACCATAATACGAAAGAGATCACTTTGTAAACAACTGCAACAGACAATAAATTACTGTAAATGCACCTTTTCTCATAAGAATGAGAACGAGACTGGAGATCTCGAGACCGCGACCTTGACCTTGATTTCCTTCCAGATTTTTTACGGCTGTATGTTCTGCTGTCTGAGGAACTACTGGAAGATGAACGTCTGCGGTGTTTCTTTTTCCTTCTGCTTCTGTTCTCTTCTTCTGTGTCCGAGGAGCGACGACCCATTTTTAAACTACATAAAAACAAAAAATCTAAACTGTAACAAAGTCTTGTGCCTGCATTAGGTTGTTATAAGTATATATAATGTCTGTGCATATATAAAAAGCCATATGATTATACCTTTTTTAAAAGTTATCGTGCAAGTAGAAAGTTTGGTTTGTATGTGAAAATAAAAAAAAAAAATCGAAATTTAAATATAAGATGTCAACAGATTCATATTGCAACTTACAGTGTCAACAAAGTTGAATTCATTTATTATGGGATTAAATTATTGTTCTAAACTTTCACAAAAGATATTTCACAACCATTTAAACACAAATAAATGTACTGATAACATCATTTACCTATCAGAACATATTTTAACTTATTTTTACATTTTTGCTTTAGATATCTATTTTTCACAAATGTGGGGAGTAATGTAGAAGACACTTTTGATAGTTCACTTTAAGACACTATGCTGCAGTCAGTAGTACAGTATCTTTAATGTTTCACTTAGTTTATGTGAAGATTCATAATACTTATACAATCAACAGAACACAGTCTATTGATTTCAGCTACTGATGTGACCACTTTGTGTGTTTTTAGATTATGCAATTAAATTACTGTATGTTTTTGCCCTACTTGCTATAATTAAAATACGTATTGAGAAAAAATTTTAGAAAGTTATTTTTAAATTAAAGTAGAGTTAGGTTGCTTGTTAGTTTACATCCACTCCATTTTAAATTCCTTTACTCCAAAATCAGACCTACAAATACTAAACTTCAGAGATGTTTCTTGATTGCCAATGTCTTTACTTGGACAAAGTTTACAGACTTTGATATCAGATTTGAAAAAAATGGGTGGTAGGGAAGCCTGCCATTCATTTAATTGTTGCAAAGACTATGATCTTGATTTAGAACTCTTAGGAGATTGGTTTCATTGCTTCAGAATTAAAGAACTGTTATATTTCTTGATTTTTCAGGCTGCAAAAAGCACATAACACTTTAAACCTACTTTTCTGCATCAGAAGTATCAGCCCTGTCCACCCAAGCCTTGAAGACCCCTCTTCACATACACTTCAGTTAATGGCAGTTAATGACACCCCTTCTTCCCAAGAACAAACAGGTATTTCAAGGCTTCCCAGCTACTTCTGCGCTGAGAAAACAGGAACTCAGAATTCTTTAACATATCAACAGCTAGATCACAGATATATTATGCCACAATATCACCTGTCTTTAAACAACATTGAAATATTACAGGTCCTCATATTTTTAGCATAAACAGGTTGAACTTGTTTCATTTTCAGTTTTTGCCCTTCCTCACACCTTTTACCATTGAGGCAGCAGACCCTAATGTCTCTGGTAGAGACTGAAAACAGGCCAAAGAAAAATTCACCATTAAGTATGTTTATGTTTAAATTCACAAAGGGTTTACGTGCAAATATAAGTCTTGATTATGTGAGGCCTTTCAGTCAAAATGCATGATTGAGCAAAAAATCCCCACGTGTTTAGTTGCACAGCCAAAGTCTCTGAAACTTACATTTTCACCCTCAAGTTTCCCCAGACATCTAAAACTGGTTTGCCCACAGTCATACTTGCTGCAGTCCTACACTGATATACCTAAACACCCAACCAGGCACGGGATTTGCTAAGTCAATGCACTGTGACCACGTTTCCCAAGGGAACCTTTCAGGCAGCTGCATTCAAAGTACAATAAATGGACAGATAATGCTGTGTTTGACAGAATTTGAAGATTGTGCCAGAGATGCGAGTTTGCTTGTCAGATTGAGACACACTCCTGAGGCTGGTCCCAAAGACTCTGAGACCCCTGGAGCCAGGGTGAGGAGCTACAACAAGCACAGGTCAAAAGCCAAAGGGACATCCTCCTGGAAAGTGCCAAGTTCCAGACCCACCATCTACTTCAAAGAGAGTTTCCATATTTTACCCAACAATTGTTTAACACCAAATACAAAACAGTCACTTAAGTATCTGGATTTTCTTTGATGATCACTAGAGTTCCCTTACTGCCAAAATCTACTTCCTGCTACGTAAATTCATTCCTATGTAGCCAAGTCTCCATGGACCACGGATGGCTCTTCAGCATGAAACTTGGAGCCATCATCTCCACTCCTGCAGCCAGGAGCACCTACAAATCAGTAGCTACTAAGCTTTGCTGCAGTCAACCCCTCTGTATATGCACTTCACTTCTCAATACCTTGCTTTCAACCCTTTAGAACCGGTCCTTCAGCTAACAACCTAAAGAAAGCACTTTTGAAATATTCAGCTCAAAGCAAAAAATCTACATGCACCTAAACCAGCAGAATTCTAGGAGGATAAACTCCTATGCATGAGAATTTCTTTTTTAAACGAAGTTATTTCTACTGTCTTATTAAAGTTATTCCGCACAGATTTTGAAAGAGACAGAGGCAATACTTTGCAGGCTATTTCATCTCACTTAAGGAACTATGACTTTAATTTACAATTCTGTAGAGGAATGCCAATTTATATCAACAGACCATCTTATGAAGTAATTTTATTTTTTTCCCCTTGTAGTAAAAGATTTACAGAGCTCCGAGGTACTAACAGTTATTGAACAGTAAAATAAAGCTCTTCAAATATATACTGATAGAACAATCTTCAAATGAACATGAACCTGAATCTCAAACTTAAAATAAGTGGAACTGCTCATAAAGATGAAACTACAAGGCACAGATTTTAAGTTAAAAGCTCACAGACCAGAGCTCATGACAGCAAGATTAATGAAAGAGATCGGAGAAACAAAGAGTACAAAAGACATTTCTGCCGAGATATTCGCCACTTGATGTGGATATCATTATGAGCCAGAACATTACACTTCAACATATATATCGTCTGTTGTTTAACTTCCTTTTTTTGCCATCAGCTTTTTTCCCCCATTTGAACATATAACTGGATTAAGCAGCATATAAAACTAGTGAAATGTATTATGTAAATCTCAATTTTGTGTCTTCAGGGCCAAAGAAGAACTACATGCCACGGCCCTTCCCTATCACAGGAAAAACCCTACAGCATTATGTGCACATATTTAAGCCTTAGGAGCTCCAGGAGCACCAGGTTTACTGTGGACAAGCTACAGGACAAAGGCACACAGGTGTCTGATGCCCTGCACGTTCTAGACTTTCCAGTGACAAAGAGGTTACCAGAAGCCAAGTGCTGATCCTGGAACAACTTGCACAGTTGAGTCCTAGTAGCTGCCTCCTTCAGGGATATCTTGAACATACACAGGCAACAAACAAACTTGTCTGACAAGCGCTATGTTTCACTGGAGTCTTTAGACCAGCCCTTCAGCACATGACACATTTCCCTGCAAAGATGTTTTTTTACAAACGTAGCACTTGAGAGCAGTCAATTATCAAGACCTATAACAGGTTAGTTTTCTCCATAACTACTGCCTACTCCCTCCATGCTCCTGAACAGACCTGGGATAAGGGATTGTCAGTATTGATTGATCACACCAGCTGAAGCCTGATGGATGGAAGAGTCATTCTGATGGGTAAGCAGTGGTCCATATACCATTTCCACAAACAGGACCCTGTGACAGCACCTAGAGATTGCAGAGGAGAACTAAGACCACCCAGGGAATCTTAATTAGTAAAATAATGAGGGGGAGAAGAAAAGGCAAACAGAAAAAATTAAAACTCATTACATGGCATCTTATGCTGAATCCCATGGGGTTTTCCTACCTGTCCATTTCCACAAGTAGCATGGAAAAGTCTGTAGATCCACCACAAAGACTCATACCATAGAATTAACAGTGTTCACCCTTATAGCTATGGGGAACACCATTTTAAGGCTCCTTACTCTTATTTCTTAGGCAGAAGCGTTAAGCCATGTGTGTTTGCAATAGGAGATATGCTCCTGCCAACCCCTCTTTATGTGTGGGCACTGTGGAAGATACAGCTCTCAATGCCTGGCAAGACACAGGAGGCTTTTATCCACACTATGGAGCAATACTAGGTGGAGGAGGGAATGGTGTATTAACAAGCACCAACATCAAATGAGTGGTGTCAGATGAACCCGGGACCTGGGTTACATCCCAGACGTTCATGGGGAGACAGTCTTCTGACCATCACATCAGTGAAGCTCATTCTTTTCCATCACCCAGCCCCAACCTTCACCTCTGCATGGTTCCCATCCACTCTTCACATATTCCCTCACACACTTCTGAATTAAGATCTCAAACAGCAAAGGAACTCTGAAGATTCAGAAGATGCTGTCTCAAGACAGGAGGACTCACAGCACCTACATGGTAACTCATTGAAGCCTGAGCTGGAACATAATACCATCAAATTAATCAGCTATTTAAGTATTTTTGAAGGCTCCAGCGGACTTCTATGAACTTCAACGTTATGAGGGGTTGCAATTTGTCTGAAACTGAGCAGCTTTTCAATAGGATAACTGACAGCTGGACCTGGTAAATTTCAAGTCCCTGCTCTGAAGCATCCAAAAGGACAGCTCTCCAAGCCTTTGTTTTAACAGTTAATTTATTAAGTCTTGTTTCTGAAAACTGATGCTGCAACATTTTGGTTGAAACAAAAACAAAGTGCATACTCTCATACGCATGTTTTGCCAAGAGAAACACCAACATTAAAAATTTCAAACCAACTATTTACACTTGGCAAAGTTATAAACAGTGCTACCAAGCTTACCTGCAAACAGCTAAGTAATCTCCACCCCTGCATTTAAAATGTAAGTAAAGCATAGGTGACACAGAAAACAGACTTCTCAAAAAAAACCGCCAAAAAACTATCCAGAGTAAGGCACACTTTAACAGACTTCTCAAAAAAAAACCCCAAAAAACTATCCAGAGTAAGGCACACTTTAAAATGTAGGAAGAAGTACATTCATTGATCTGACCTCGTTCAATCTTGTTTCATAGATTTTATAATTATTTCAAGTGTTAAATATTTTCAAACACTAGTATCAAATTACCATTATATTTACTGTAGATTTTAAGAAAATGATAACATTTGGTTGCTTTCAATTGGAGGCTGTT